ATGATTAAGAGGTGCTTAGTAATTATTGCAGTCTAATTTAGAGCATATATTCTGGTAATAGTCAGTATTTCATCAATTTTAGTGGCAGTGAAATAGACTTGTTATAGTAAAAATAGTAGTTGAGAAAATAAAGAGATTTTGTTAAAAAAAAGTAATCACCAGAGAATGGCAAATAGATATTTTGATGGTTAAAAATATTATCACTGAGAATCAGATGACAATTACCACCTAGAGAATCAGCAATGCGGTTATCTGTAAAGAAATTAATAATTTAATTGACTTTAATAGGGAACAATGATAGTGGCAAGTAGAATTGTAATTAAATATTCAACAGGTCTTAAGAAGTGTAGTAGTTATAATGGTAAATTAAGTTAATTTAAACTTAATTAACTTAACTAGTCATCACGCCACTAGGGCCCAACATGTATCACCATATAGAAAAACAGTCCGTAATTAAGTATTTGTTGTCAGTACTTAATTTCGTTTTATGGACGTAGAGTATACCAGGATTATTGCATTCGACAAAATTTAGAAAAAAGGTTGCTTTGACCGATGGGAATAAAGAATTTATATTTAAAAGGATATTTTTCGAATTACTTGTCAAGAACAAAATGTTTTAGGATAATCGAAATATTCACAACGAATAGAATATCAGAAATCAACAAATCAGATAACAAGGAACAAGTTACGATGGAATTAAAGAAGATTTTAGGCATATGGATAGACTGGTGGGCAGTTTTGTGTATAACGTGTGGTATAGTTGGTGCGAGTTGCTTCGATGAGGATAGGAATGAGGATAATTTAGATCGATTAAGAACAGAAATTAAATCTTTTTTTTGCAACACCTGTAATTAATAGAGACATCTTTTAGTCACGACTGCAGCAGATAAAGATTATTTTGGTTCATTTATCTTTAGATTTGGAATCAAAACTCAAGAGAATTCTTGACTATATTATACAGAGATGTCCTTAAATGTGTAAAGAGGACAGAAATAGTCTTGTCCTTAGCAAGAAGCTAAGCTTCAAAATTTGATCTGCATTAGTAAGTTATCCATTGATAATTTCACTGATAATTTTAAAATAACTTGGAGATAGTTTTGCATCTCACCGCGCGGCTAGCTATAGCTAAAAGAATTTTGCTATACAACGACTTAATATGACACACGAATTGAAACACCTATAAGTGCAATGCAGTGATTCTGCACAGGTTATATGTTAACATAATAACTGACGATGTAGACATCGACGGGCATAGCAAGCATGATGTCACTGCTACCTATACATCTATAGAAAAGGTACTTGTGAAATTGGATTCGACAATAAATGAGGTTTATATGAAGTAGATGTCAGCTACTAATAGAAATGTGCGTTACTCGGATTGTTTGATTGCTTGCAATAATAGTTTCAAAGATGTCAAGTAACTTACAAAATCAGGTATGATTTTGACACCCCTCTGCGATTGTGTCTTTATCTCAATATCGTTGTCTATTAATATCGTTGTCCTTTAAATGTTTTCTAGATTGCAAAAAATGAGAAAAAGTCACAGGGTTGGAATAGTTGGATACGCTAAAATCTAATATATAAAATACCCGCTTTTCCTGAACCGGACGATATACATATCTCTTTAGCATTATATATTTTAGATATACCATTTTATTGTCAATGGATGTGTTAAGAGCATCTTACCCACGAGCTACTCGTAGTAAAACTCAAGTAAAACACAAGTAAAGTACAAACTGAGAGCGTAACACAAATAAAATGAAAAATTACGCTCTATACACAGAATTTCATGAAACAGCTTTATGTAAAGTCTGTTGAGAACACCAGTGCCGCGCAAATAAGCAATACAAAAATTTAAATTCAAACTAAAACAGCTGATTTACACATCAACACACATTTTACTTGAAATAAAATATACGAGTAAAGTTCGTGTAGCATTTTCATTTTTGGACAGGGATGTTACGCTCTCTCAGATGCTCTCATATACTCGAAAATTTGCTGGAGGAATGCACTTGTCTATATACAGTAATACTCAAAGTTCCTACGACTAACTTTGGAACAGACCTAATATATATAACAATATTATATTTGATTTGTTAATTTGGTGGTTTTATATTAAATAAGAAGTAAAATGTGTAGCATAATGCAATTTAACGAAAAAACAGTTATTAAGCTATTTGTATTATTTAATCAGAGAATGGGTTTAAGTGTTTACGGAGTGTAAACACTTAAAAAACTTATAAAAGAGTTTTGCCTAACATCGAATGACGCAGCACAGCCAATCGTAATTTTAATTGTGATTTTGCCCAGTTCGACTCTTTTCTTTACGAAATCCCGTTAAAATCATGATTCGATTGCATACAAAAATCCAATAGCTAATATTCGATTTCATTGTAATTACAAAATTTTTAATATTAAGTTAAATAGAAATATTAATTATAATTCTTATAAACTTATGTAAAATCAAATAATTTATTGCTGTGGTGTATTGATACTCTCACTTACGAGCGTAAGTACAAAAACAAAATTGATAAATAAAATTAAAATGAAATCAAAATTTTCTATGTGAACAGGTTCTTAACGAATTAGCCAGAACAGGTTAAGAACAGGTTCTTAACAAAATTGTAATTTATATGTTTTGTGTATTAAAACTAAATCCATTAAATTTTGTTTAAAAGTATTAAATTTCATTAAAAAAACATTGCTTTGAACCATTGTGCTAACAGCACATTCACACTGTCTTATTTACGCCTTTTTGCTCATTATAAACACTAATGAGAATGATTTACCATACAAAAAGCTTTCATATAACTGAGCTTATTATCAATAAATCAGTTCACTTAAGGCGAAAAATGTCAAATGGGTTGCATTACAAAATAAATTTAACAAAAAATGAAATTACCAAAATTTTAAATATATGTTATATGTTTTATGTGAAAAATGTAAACAGCTGTGCTGAAAACAAAGGCACTGAGTATTTAATAAAATCTTAGTTTTTATTAATTGAATATGTAATTGATATTTCAAATGTATATGGGTGATTTAATATATTAATTATATATTTAATATGTTTTTGTGATATATTATTAAGTGAAGTTTATAAAAGTTTTTAAAAGTTAGCTGCATAAATGAGCTCATTATAATGTGAAGGTTCATTCATTTCTCATAAATGAGAAGGTGCTTAAATGAGACAGTGTGAATGTACTATAAGATGTCAAAATTGGTTTAAAAGTGTGAAATATCAGCTGTCAATTGTTATTTGATTTATATTCTAAATTATTATATCGAAAAAAATAATTATATTTGAATTAGCAATTTAAGATCTTTTTTAATATATAAAGAAAGTATGTTTCCATGAACTATAAAAGAAAATATTGAATTGAAAAAGGAAGAACACCTCTTTCAACAGTTAATCCATTAAACAGTTGATGTATAAGCATTTTAAATTTATATGAGTAAACACACTTAAAATTGATTAAAAAACCTACATATATAAGTGGATTTTAACACTCTTTTAAAGATAAATAATATTTTTTCATTATATAAACTTACATTTAAATTCTTTTATTATATGTTATTAAGAATTCGTTTCTGCGTTAAATTTCTTCACAATTTTTATTCAACATGCTAAACTCGTGCTAAATAGCTAAAATGATATAGTGTTAAATTGTAGGCATATATTTTGTAGTTTGGTTTTACAATATGACATTTTAATGAATTATATAAGTAAGGTGTGAAGTCAGCTGTTGCCGTTGTATTTCTATATATAATTTTATTTTGATTTCAACAAAATCTGCTTATATACGTTTACGTATGTTTTTATTTGGAATATCATTATTTTGACAGTTTGTAAATTTAGCAGGAATTTAGCAAGCTAAATAATAATCATGAAAAGGTCTACAATTTATAAGTATAATAATTCCAGATGAAACTTCTGCTGTTTATGTTTCTATATTGGTTTGCGTTGTATAAAGTTTACGTCAACTAATCCAACCTTTATAATCTGACGTTAAACAAAACCGCTATTTATCACTCCGGTTCAATGCTCTATAGTCAGTTAACATAAATTATAGCAGTTATTGCAGTTCTCTGTCGGAATAGCTGACTGAGAAAAATCATTTTGTTTTGTTTTAATGGATTCAACAGGATTTTATTTTAATATTAGAATCTTAATTTTGATTTAATGCTTTAAAATATTTTAATTTCTATAAATTTTAATCAATTAATTTATTTACTTTATATATTATTTAATATTGTGCAAAATGTTGAACTTAATAAATGCAAAATGAAACTAAATATTTATTTATTATTTATTATCACATATTTGTGATATGTGTGTTATATGGCGTGACGGTGCTGTACATATACGTTGTATATACTATATAAAGTCATATATGTTTTTGTTATATGCATATATGTTTTAAACATATTTAATATAAAAATTTAATTATTGGTGGTAATACTACTTATTAATTTATAAAACACATATTTTTGTTGTTCATTTATGTTATGATATACATAACATAAATGTCTATCTTGTATAGACATCTTTAAAATAAACCCGCAAATGTATGCATATATTATTCAGTTAATATTTCGTTAGGTTACTCTGATTTTATTCTTGGGATACATATAAAAATAAAAATATTTTTATTTTATCACTTAGCCAACGTTTCATTGTTGGCAGATGTTGCCAACACTTTCAAGGGGTATCGAAAATTTTTATTTAATTTTATATAGTAAAATGATATAATGAAAAACTTTTCACAAAATTGTTACAAAAACAAAACAGAACTAAAAATATTATATGTATATATTAATCATATTACTATTGATTTTGATTTAATAACAATTATTTTTTGTATATTAATATTAATATTATTTTCTTTGATTTTGTTTACCATATTTCCTAACATTATTTATATTATATAAAAATAATTGTTAAAACATGTCAGATATTTTAATAAAGTTTTGTATAATATATGAATGTCATAAATGTCTCATGATGTGGCATCACTGTTGGTAAATGCAAAAATTGTGCAGCAAAGAAGGTAGTAAAAAGAAATTACAGAAATGGTATAGCGAACTCTCTTCACCCAATGAATTTGTGCCATAATGTAGATGATGCGTACACGTTCTCACAGTATATTATCAGCGGCAACGACACAACAGACGTTCCCGTTTTCGTTGTCAGTCGGAAAAAGAAAAATTCTGAAAACAAAATGGAGGTCTTTGATGTGGTGCGTTCATGTTTATTAATGTGCTAAGTAAAATTGCGAAAAAAACGGTAAATAAAGTGCATTTAATTAATAATAATATAAAAAATGTGTAAATAAAAATACCGGCTTCAGTTTACATATAAAATTAATAGTGTTCAGTGTTTATTTTAATTAAAATTATGGTCAACAACTTTTTGGTTAAGAAGACAAATGCAGTGAATTAAGTACTTGGGTGAAATATGTATGTAAAATAAGAAAAAACGGCTGAAGAAAAATTTCTGTACTTCGCGAAGGAAAACGAAGATCTTTTAGTTTCTTATTTGTCGCTCTTTTTTTTTTGTTTTTGACAATTGACCAAATGTGGCTGTTTTTATTATTTTAATACAAAATATACTAATTGTTGTAAAAAAAAAATTTAATTAACTAAAATGTTATAATGTGTGCCGGTATATATATATAACGAAATGTAAAAATGTTAAAACATAAATGAAATGTATTTTGTGTGAAGGAAATATTTCGGTTAATTTTGATTGCTCCAGCCGTGCGGCTTAAATTTAGATACAAAAAATACGATGTAGCAATTTTAAAGAAAATTAAAATGAAAATTTTATTATTAAATTTGCAAATTTTTTATAAAAAATGGAAATACGTTTTTAATAAAAAATATAGTAAAACTTTATATAAATCTGTATATAATTTATATATATATAGATATGTATATATACATATATGTACATTACTTCGACAAATACAGAATTCATAATTTATTAGTTTTTGCTTTTATGCTCTTTTATTTTGTGCATTGTCGTTGTTCGGTTTTCGCTCATCTCATTTGTATTTCTCTTTTTGCCGTGACCGCGACGTCCGTCCGTCTATTAAAGTGTAACCATGTGTGTTTGAATGCTTGTACACTCTGCAATTAATTTTTTTTTTCTTTTGAATAGTGTTGTTTTTGTTTGTTTTTTTTTTCTTTACTTCCACGATTTCATTATGATTTTTCATCTTATTTTGTGCAATTATCCATTATCCATTCGTACTGTGCTTATTGCAAAACGTACTTCGTGAAAGACGGCTGCTCTCTAATATTAAATGACAATACTTTGCGTTGTGTAAATTTTTACTAAAATATTTAGCAGATGTAACGTCGTCTTCAGTTAGAATGAAAAAAATTTTTTTTTTCAATATCATTAATAAGTGCGTGTAGATGTAAATGAAATATATAAAAAAAGTGCAAAAAAATTCAGTCATGCACCTGTGCTTTCTCCTAGCAATCGGTGATATGCGACATACCTGTGTGGATTAGCATTTTTCTGTATCTCTATTGATTAGCGAAATTGCATATTTTTAGGTGGTGCAGCAAAGTTTTAACAAATTATATTTTACAAAAAGAACAAAAGTGAAAAAATTGGATAATTTATCAATGTATAAGACATAAGTTTAATAAAAAAATGAATATTTCCAAAAAAAATAAAAGAAAATATGAAAAATATTAAAATGAAAAAGTACATATGACGAAAATTTTTTCTAATATATATCTTTTTTTTGTGAGTTATTATTATTTATTTTTATCTATTAATTACATTATTTCCGTTCACTAAAAACGAGTGAAACCTGTATTATACAAATTCATATGGTTTTTTTTTAATTTCTGCAAGTCTGTCGTAAAAAATTACTTGCCGGCTGCACGACAGCTATCAGTTTTAGAAACAGACACAGTTTTTTCCTTCCGAATTACTCTAGAAACTGCTCAGCTCTTTGTCAAGTGAAATTGAAAATTGTTAAAACGTAAACACATGTTGAGAAACTGTGAACACCCCGCAACCGGAGAGCCGTTAACTATTCAACCGTTTTTAGTAGTTTGTGTTGTATAAATCGTCACATTTGTTGGATCGTGATGTGCAAATACGCAAATCATTTAAATAATTAAAAAAAAATATAAACAGTAGTAAATTTTAATTAAATCGTTGTACACTTAAAATTAACTTCTATAACTTTCATAAGTATATATAGTCTTATTTATATCAAGTGAAACATATTTGATTATATCTAAATAATGATACAATTATCTGAGACTAATTGTTTTATCTGTCGGATAGAACAGCAAATAATCTTCCATTTAATAAAGTCTGCTAAATGAAAAAAGTTGCATTATAATTAAGACTATATAAAAAAAATATTTCTTAGAATTCTGCATAAAAATGTAATAATACAATATTGATCAAGGCTTCAGTGTATAACTTTTGGAGTTTATGATTCATAATATTTTTTTCAATTTCATACAAAAATTGTATTTATTCATTTGCTAATAACAATTGCTGACCCTTTCTCAATGAAAATTAAATATTATCTATATTAATATGAAATTAGGAGCGTAGTTTTTACCAATTACATATTTAGTCATTGGTTCCAAGCACTGGTCCTTGTACGTCCCAAAGTCTCTCGTCAAATTCGACGACCAAGTGTTGTTTAATACTCATAAAATGGAAAGATCTTCACAAACAGATCCTTTGCGGGCTACAACAACAACATGTCTAATTCTTTGTTCTAATATTTAAGTATAATAATATGTTTGTTATATAGCATATTTTAATAACATTAAGTGTTTTTGCAGGTTAATGGTCAAATTTTTTACTGTTGTTAAATATAAATACTAAAAAAAAAGAAACTACGATATATTTTACAAAAATTTTTATTTCATCCATATTTCGACTTTACGCTAAAGTCATCATCAGAAAATATAGCATATTTAATATATATTATACTATATTTTATATTTACTATATTATTTTGTATTTTATATATATAATTCTATATTTTATATATAATAAAATATACTATTCTTTTTCATTTATTTGCAATTTAAACATTGTTTCAACTATTTCATCCATATTTTTACTTTATCTGTTTCATTGTAATTATTTAAAAAAATAGTTTAATAAATTATATTAATTTTATTAACTATTAGAATTATATATAATTAAATTTCTTTGCGATAACCTAAAGATTAGTGTACACAAATCTAATAAAAAATACATAATTTAAATAGTGAATATTCAAAACAAAATGTATTTGTCAATTGCTTATATATATTGATACGAATGTTAAATTATTTGTGTTCACACAAATTAAGAATAATTCTTATAAGAAAATTAATGATACATTTATACATTTATTTTTATCTCTTAGCTTAACAATATTGTAACTTTATTAAACTGTGTATCTACATCTCCTTGTCAAGACTAAGTTGTTAGCAAAGCGTTTGATTCTATTTTTCTATTTTCTTAAGTACTTTCTACAACAATTAGTAAATGTAAGTTTAGTGTTTTATTTAAGACTGATTAACAATGCAAATCCCAAAGACGAAGTTGTAGATAATAACTGACTTTCTATTGAGAAGTACATACTTATTTGAACTTTTTTCCTCTGGAGATTTTTTTGCAAATAATATTTTAGTGTGAACACTGCAAAGATTATTCTTTATATTCAAGGCATACAAAATATTTAACATCTATATTAAATATACAGAAAATCCAATATAATATTTGCTTATAATATTTATCTCTAATTTTAATTTGACAAAGTAGCAGTCTTTCCCATGCGTTCCTGTTTTGTGAGCGTTCTCTCTAGTATCGTACATCAACGTATTACTTATTTGTTTCTAAATGAAAATAATTATAATTTTGATCCACAGATTTCCATTATTAATTTAACATGAAAGATGTTGACTTTAAACATTAATTAAACGCCTTCAGCAATTCTAGAATAAAATTCTACCCTTTAGTAAAGTATACGAGTATATATATACAAATGTATATTTGTATATATGTACATATATAATGTAAGGTTGATAACTTTATTAAAAGTAACAAGTAATTTTTTTGATTTTTGTAATTACGTTGTCTTTTAAAAAAATTGTCATAATATATCTTTGGGTTATAACAAAATGAACGTAAAGGGATAGATATATAGAGAATGTTCTAGAATTGAATGACATTACCGTAGGATATTATTTTTAGTCCATATGACGAAATAACTGTAGGAATAAACGAAAAATAACAGAGATAGAAGGTGAAAAAGAAATATTTACCCAAAAAAAAATCTGCAGGCGAAAATTCTTAAAATCTTCTAAAAAGTAGATTTCCATATACAGGGTTATCAATTTTGTTTAGTTGCTTTTATGGGATAATCCATTTCTTCGTGTTCCAATTATTAGTGCTCCAATATGAGTTATACAACTTCAACATTGGGTTTACTACTTCTAACTATTTTTCACAATTAAAATATGTTTTAAAACATAAAAATTGAAATTAGTTTAATTTAGTTTCATAAAAACAGATATGAAATTTCAATACTCGTATATATATTTCTCTATAAAAAACAGACAGAAGAGCCGTCTATCTTATATGTTCGTGCCATGCAACTGCCTGAAAATAAATTCAATAACTCCATATGGTTTTCATTGAATCGCATTGAGTTTGAGATCTTTGAAGTAAGATATATTATTAAGTTTATCAATGGCATTTTATAAACAGAATTAATCTGGATGTTTTAACTTTTGTTTGAGGATTTGTGGTAGTATTGATTTGAATACATTTTATTATATCTTAAAAGTGGTTGAATATTTCAATCTTAAATATTTATTAATCTTAAATTAATTAATTATGAAAAGTTCTACAGGAATTTAATGAGAGAAGTTAGTCTAAGGTGTGTTTTTATGCGCTGTTGCTTCAATTTTTCTGAATTAGATTAGGTTAAGTCAAATTATGCCGGCACTCGTAAGGATCCATTTAGGCCTGTTCGCCTATAGCGTTAGCGTGTTTTATTATTAAATCTTAAAATGTTTTTTTTAGAAAATTTTCGGGTGTACTTTAGAAGAATTTTCCAGTAGATAGCGCAGTGAAAGCATATATATATATGGGTTGTATACCATACCATATTTTCTTCATTCTGTACCATACATATTTAATTATACAATATTATAATGACAATTCGTAACAAAAAAAAGCCTTGGTAATCAAGTAGTTCTGGTGGGGTCTGTTAATCACTAGGTTTAACTATTTCTTTTCTA